CAAATTTTGTGTCTAAGCTGTAACGCAGCAGCCCTCCACTAGCCGGGACTGATGCTGTTAGTGGCTACAGCCATACTGCCATAATGCTGCACTGCTCGGTTATAAAATCATCACAGTGGACAGATGGCTTCTCATAGCACTGAGCTGGTGGCAGTATGAGATCTACAAAATGGAGACAAAGTTGTATGTTGGATTTGTCTGGTTGAACTGGCATAAATGGCACACATGACACAAGTAATATAGGCTACATAACCAGCACAGTGATGTGGAATTTCACCTGTAAGGACGGCCGATGGTTGGTGGTGCTAGCATTGCTAATGTTAGCCACACTTTACAAACACACTAGAGTTTACCTGCTCACACTGTGATTCTTTTTTAGCCATGATAAATAGATTGTGCTCATTTTTGAGAGTTTTCTTACCTATAGAATTGCTTACTAGTCTGAGTTTTAATTTGTGTTTAATCAACTTTGAGATGAGTTGCCTGGGAACAGCCAAGATGTGTGCATGTGTGTATGTTTGTGTCTGATTGGTTGGGTATCATCACAGTGCAGTCTGCTCACAGTTGCACTTGACCTAAAACTTCTTTACGTAGTCCATAGACGCATGCAGGGTAATTGACATTTAGTGTGTTGCTTGCAATTTTGTAGCCGAGGTTAATCCAGGGGCACGGATTCCGAGCATGTCAGAAAGCTGTTGTCACTTGTCCAATACTGATAAAGTGGCAACACAGAAGTTCAAAGGTCAGTAATGGACTGGGGGAATAATTAAGGGTTGCGCCACAAAACTCTAGTTCTAACAATGTATGCAGACAGGTTGACCTTGTGGCTCCGCAGCCTTAACGAGCAGAGGGACCGAAGGAAAAAAAGAACAAAATCATTATGTAGAAAATGAAGTCCTTCCTTGAAAAAACTTGATCGAGCTGCTTCACAAGTCTCATCCTCCCTTTTTTCCCAGCTCTCTTGTGGCCATTTTTTCCCCTTCCTGTCTCTACTTTCTTTTTCTTTCTGTCTCCTGTCTGAGCTCCCAGGGATCCACGAGCAAACAGGCAATAAAAAAAAAACATTCTGGATAGGAATTCTGATGGCGTTGACCACTGACTCTGTCCATCCGGATGTTTCTTTAGACAGCAATATGAGAGGCTTTATCTATCAAGTGCAGCCATGTGTTTATGTCCGATATGGGAAGGGTTAGGGACGCTTTAAATGTTCAATTAACATTAAAATGTGACTATGACATAATGCCAAGCACAAAGAGGCAGAGCACAAAAGCCCCTAAATTGCTCTGGGAATTACAGTATGAAAAAACAGACTCTATTTTTTTCTTAATGTTTGTGGTGGGTGAGACTGCTTACGATTCAGTTTAGGCTGTATTGATTATTGGAGTAATCACAGTGGCAGGCTTTATGAGAGGGGAACAAATATGAGGATATTTTAAATCAGTTTTGTTTATGTGCCTTCTTTTCTTCTTCCCTCTTGTGTGCGATGGTGGTTACCGGTTTAGATGCAGAATGCAATCTCCGCTGCTTTCACTGCAATCCCAAAAGCACTTCATCTGTATGAGATTGAAAAAGTGGGGAACACCAGGCCTCCTCCTTTCTCAAGTTTACTTCTAATGGTATAGTAATAACTTCCCAGCTCCCCAAAGTTATTACTTTCTTCATTTTCTTTGCAATGACAAAGGACCCAATGAGATAAGAATATGTAAGCTCTTCCTTCTTTTTCAGTGATGTGTTTGTCAGTTTGAAGACAAGCAATAAAAAGATCGTACTGGCTTCAGAGAGATGACACTGCAGTGATGGTTATCAAAAAGGACTTATGGCTTTGATGGGTTGACAATATATATGAAATTGATTGACAGTTCTCAGTGCTATCAGAGAAAAAAAACGTTACTTTAAATACAAAACATTTATGTTTGTTTTAATGATGTACAGTACGTGAAGTTTCAAATGTTGGAATTAACAGTTTTATTACTGTTTTTTACACTAATCAGTTTGAAGTTTTATATGCCCAGGCCACTTGGGTTTATATGACACCATGAATTAAAACGTTCCAGGATCAGAGTGCATAGTAGGTCTATTCATTGTAACAAAAAGCAAGACAAACCCTAATTAAACAGAATATCCTGCCTTCTTTGCCAAGCTTTTGAGACAAAATAAGCAAGCTTAAACACATCAAGCTTAAACAGTCATTCCAGTTTTTGCACATCTGTCTTCCCCAATATTTTAGGTTTTTGACAAGCTACTTCTTGAAACAATAATTCTCTGGACCCTTATTTTGTACAATGCAAAAGAAAATCTAATATAATGATTCCTATTTTAACAATGAAAACTGTATAATCCAGGTAACTTAGTATTTATTGTCAGAGATGGTGTCTTTAAGTGAGTCAAAGTGAGAAGTGTTCTCAAAAATACTCTTATTATGGGGCGCGCTGGTGGCGAAATGGATAGGGCGCGCACCCCATGTTTTGAGGCTGTCGTCTCAAGCGGGCGGCCTGGGCTCGCATCCTGCCTGTGGCCTCCTTCCTGCATGTCGCTCCCCACTCTCTCTCCCTGGTTTCCGACTCCATCCACTGTCCTATCTCTCGATTAAAGGCACAAAAGCCCCCAAAAAATAAATCTTTAAAAATACTCTTGTTACTTTTTGCTTTGAAAATACGTTTGGCTCTGAACGGGAAGAAAAAATAAATTATTTAAACTTTAATTTAGTACACATTACCCCCATGTTATGACAGACGACTATATTGCTTTTCGGACTGTTTTCCTTATTATACCCCAATTTCCAGTTTGCCATCTAAGTGACCCTGGATAATTATGAACCCACAATGGGGCTTGAAAATTGGGCTCTAAATATTGGTTTGCTTTGGGCCCATTGCAGTCTACTCAGTGGTTTGACAAAATGGGTTTGAAAGTGGATTTGTCAGTTCATATTAGGTTTAGTTGATTTTCTGTGGTCCAGTTCCAATAGCTTCTATAAAGATGGATGTACTCACCTACTATTTAAATCTTCAAACTTAGAGAATAGCTTTGCTAAAGAAATACACTTTATTAGAAGCTGTGCATTCAACAGGATCCTGTCTCAGTGCTCTGATATTAATGCTTAGTTTCCCATTTCTTTAACCATTGACACATTTCTTGTATTCTCATTAAACTGTTGCTAAGATGTTTCTTTGTCTTTTTCTGCCCTTTCAGTTTTTGGTCTGGTTGTACCATTGTGCAGTATTTTGTTTCCCATGTACAAAATAGTCCCTTTTTTCCTACCTTCTACCAAATCCTGTTTCTATGGCAGGTGATTCCAGATGTTTGACTGTAATGTATGTCTTGTGACAGGGGTTCCCAAATAAATTACAAAGATAATGTGACAGTGTTTGGGCTGTTGTGTGTTGTTCTAATGCCAGTGTTTGGATAGGCCTGATAGTGTGCGTGGCTGCACACAATGTTAAATGTTTTTACCACCTCCAGGGACAATGGGGGTCCCCAGTCTCTAGCACTGTTATATTGGGGGTTGCGGGCTGAAAAGTTTGGGATCCCCTGGTTTATGATGAAATTGTGTTCATAATGGTAGTGTTTTTTAACAGATACATTTTAACAATTCAATCAATTAAGAGATCCATTAATCATTTAGATCTTAACCATAAGTCAAAAACAAGCACAACTGCATCCTATACTCTGCAAAGCTTTGCTGTGTGTCTATTTAGAGTTACTGATGTTGATGTTTCTGTGAGTTATTCATCCTGTGTTATCCAAAATCACTTACTGTCTCTTGTTTATAGATGACACATTAGGTTGACAATAACATCTTGTGTCCATTTTCTACCACGGTACATTATTTTCTACTCCCTATCTTTGAAAAAGCTTAGGATACAACAGTCTGTGTTGCTGAAAATGTGCCAAAAGCTTTGGTAGCTAATGATGCAGAGCAGTTTGAGGTTGTCTGTCACCCCTTATCACCCCTGGTGGGAGTCGGATAACGTTGGACAGTTAATTCAACATGAAGAGTTTCCCTCACCAGCAGGCACTGCATGGGTGTATACAAAGCTTTGCCATCATCAGGGATTGTTTCACTTTCTCGTTTAAAAAATGTGGCATTGGACTTTTTTATATTTCTTAAAAAGAAAGTGATCTATAATCATAGAGTGTAAATATTAATGGACGAAGCCTGAGTGACGTCAGCCATCTGTTACTGCAGGGGGTTCTGGAGGCTCATCGGCTGCAGCCGCCATGTTGGAGATCCTTTCTCAGCCTAACTTTCAGTCAACCTAACAACAGGCTGAGAGCTGGAGCTGAGGTGGGTTTTAAGCCTGACAAACCGTTACATCGCGCCTACCTGTCAATCATGTAAGCTACGTGCCTAACTATGGATAACATATATCGTTTTCAAAATCCAAACGGACCGTATTTAAAAAATTCACAGTATGTGGTACAATGTGTACCTATTAGGTTTTTTGTACTAGGCTGTAAACATGTTTATTTGTGCTGTAAAAACGGCTGTTTATTTGACTCAAGTAGAAACTCAACGGAGTGCAGGATTTTGCACGTCCACATTGGCTTCATTTTCAAGACTGGAGGTTGCTGCTTGTCTATAATCAAGCTATTAAAGTTGCCCCTCAGCTAATGGGTATCATTGTGTACTTGTATTTTTGAGTGATGTCAGAAGATTAGACGCATTCCTGAAAAATGTTCAGATGAGTTTTAAGCATTTGTTAACTTCACGGCTGTTGTATTGGTGTTACCTTCATAGCACATTAATTGAAGGATTTGTTTTGACAGGTTCAGATCCAAAATTGAACATGCATTAAAAATGTCATAAAGCCTCAATAAATTTTCTTTTTCAAAGACTGTACCTACTGGAATTAATGTTACTTACTTGTTGACTGCAGAGTTTTTTTTTCAGAAACTTACAGAAATGTTGGCAAGGTGAAAAAGTCAAACTTTTTCCAGCAGTATGAAGTCGTACAAATCCAATGTGTGATAAGCTCAAAGTAAAGTGTGAAGCAATGTACCTGCTTCTACGGCTTTCACTGTGATATTGTGCCAGCCTGCCGTCTCTCGGTCCAAAATCTTTCCCAGCGTGATGGCACCCGAATCAGGATCGATATAGAAGATCATGTCCTGGTCTGTGGACCGATCGATAGAGAACCTGAAACCAAAGACACAAAAAATAACATATACACTAAATGTCAAGAAATAGCATTAGTGACTGAGGTGAGAGGGAGAGAACTTAGTTAAAGTGCTTTAAATGTTTTTGCTCCCTCATCTCGTTTTGAGCCAACAGTCACCTAAAACTAGAGTTTTTCATTAGTGTGAAAGATTAAAAAACAGGATGAGGGATATTTGACCAGCACTGCACGTCTTGTTGAGGAAAGCTTCTAGTTCATAGTGTATCGTAAGTTTTCAAATAAAAAATATAATATTTAAAGCTACATATCTGAAGCAAAAAGATGCCATATTGGAAATACTATGTTGCCCTAACTTCCAGTCAACCTAGAAACACAAAGAGGTGGAGCTGAGATGGGCGGGCATTAAAGGCAGAATGTGCGACATTTTAAACATTAATACAGCAGAAATCAAGTACATCCTATGTCTCTCTGAGTCATGACTGTCTACAATGAGTGAGAAGCGTGAGTCCCTCCAGCTGTACTATTGTCGGGCCGTGTTTACATCATGTTTACAGGGTCAGGACGGCCTTGCTGTTTTAACCAAGGACTAGAGAACATTACCTTGCTAACTCAACAATGCAGGCCACAGGCAATTGCAGCCCAAGCTAAGAACAATTTTCTCCGCCGCTTGTGCTTAATAGTGCTTAATTATGGTGGATTCTACGATTGAAAGATTGATAACTCTTTTGTGCGAACGCAACTGGAGAGGGGTTGGAGGTGTGCCGCTGGAGGAGAGCGGAGGCTTCAGAATAGCGGCGGTGTCTTCCAACAGCAGTCTGTTTTGGTTTAATGCTGGGGCTCAAGGGAGACACCTACTGGATCAGAAAGTCGCCCCATCTTCCTTTAAGTCTCCTGGCAAACGGTCACAATGCACTCACATGTCAGTCAACTCAACCACACCTCTAATTATGCAAATTTCAAAACCTCAATATAATCAAAAAAAGATGCATTACTACTTTTGAACCAGGCTGTAAACAGGTTTATTTCTGCTGTAGAAATGGGCATTCTGATACGGGAGCCAGCCTTGAGGGACTGCAGTTTCTTTTGCACTTCTGTACTGGATTCAGTTTTAACAAGGATGGTTGCTGCTTGTGTAAAAGAGATTATGTTTCTCAATGAGAATATTAGAAATTTAAAAGAATGGGTAAAAAAATCTTATAGTAAATTAAGTGTATTTCATTACGTTAATTTTAAATAGCTTGAAGTTGAATTTTGGCTATACTTAATAATAACACCTTACAGTGTTTCCCCTAGGTTTACAGCTTTTGGGGGGGGGGGGGTGTAAATCAGTGTAGTGATACAACAGAAAACTCAAAGTACTTGGTCTTTTTCGATTCTCTGATTTTTTTGAAATTTTCAAAATCCAAAACAAAAAACACCAACCAGAATTTACATTTTTAGACCAAGCCGACAAGCCGACATGCTGACACGGCGATACAACGACACAAACACTTGAAGGAATCTTGGTGTTCATGTGTTACTTTTAATGACAGATGTCCTGTTCTATCGGAAAGGTATCCTTAAATGACTTCTTTCCCTGATTTCCGACATCTATCCACTATCCTATCTCTACAATAAAGGCACAAAAAGCCCAAACATAAATATAATGGTAGGGGAAACACTGCCTTATCCAGAAAACGCCACAGTATTTGTATTCAAAGGCCTTTACTTGAGAGTTGTCGCAGGTTCTCTGACCCTTAATGGCAACGTGTTTCTCAACTGCACGCAGCTATACAGTGACTCTATCTAGAGTAAGAAAACAAACATTAAATTTTCATTGTGCACTTTAGAAAATCCACAAATGCATCTTTCCTTCTTTGGGAGTACTCGGTGCTCTGAAAAGATTGGTGAGTCAACAAATTTGCTGAAAGGTTTCTTTGTTCTTTACTTGCTCTCCCAGATCACACACACACACAAACACACACAAACACACACAGACACACACTTAAACACAAATGGCTAGCCTCTTTGCTCATACCCACATAATCATAATAAAGTGCCAAGGGTATAGAGGCTCTTTAGGCCTCTCTGGCGAACATGCCAGCGAACGTTCAGCAAGGTCTCATGAGAATGATGGTCACATGTTGAAGATATGAAGTGAAGCATCATGTCAGGAGAACCATATGTTTAACTGAAGATGTAAAGAGAGCAGCATTTGGGTTAAATAGATTCTGGATCATGCATTCATTAGAAAAATTGTGTAGGTGTAGAATTGTATTTGCATTTTTTTTTATTTCATGAGAATGTCAATATACAAAATTGATCTAATAATTGACTTGGGAGATAAATAATTATCCTACCCTACATTAGTCATTGTATGAGCAGGCTTGAGTTTCAATCCCTTTAACAAACCTGTCTTTGAAATGAGATTTTGCCTATTGTAAGGGTACTGAAAGGGTGTTACACATGAAAATGTATGTGCATGTGCATCTATGTGTCTTACTATACATCTCCCACTCAGGATAGTGATTAGATGGTTCTTACTTTTGTTTACATCTACCATTGACTTTTGTCTGCAGCATTAATAATCAAATTAGATTCCTCACTCATGTAGCAAACCTCAAATTGTGCAGCAGCACAATAACTCATCTCAACAGTATTTGACTCAGGTGATGGATTTGACAGCACAACAACAAGTCCAAGACTAAATATATTATCTCTTTAATCATGTTTGGCTATCCTTGTCTCCCAACAGGCCCAAGTTAAACTATTATTGTTCAAAACACATTTGGTTTTCAGTGAATGTAAAGATTTAGTTTTTTGAAACACACAGTCTCACAGCACCACAACACCACCCCTTTCTTTCCTACACAATCTGTCTGCATCGCATCATGACAAAGTCACTGCAGCACACATGGTTTGGTGGCTGCAACCAGAGTATCAACAAGTTGATTGATTACCTGAATGATTCCTCGTATGTGTGTTTTTCTCAGTTTTACTTTCTTCATAGAGATTGGTTGTCATTGGCTTTTTTAATTTTTTTTTGCAGAATGAATCTCTGGCCAATAAAAGATGGTCTCACTCATCAGGTCTACAGTGAATGTGCATTTTGAGGTAAAACCTCACCACTGAGGGAGCATTAATATGCAGAGTTCAGCGACAGTGTGTTCCCTTAATGCCAGAGGCCATGAGCTCGCTAACTCTGCCCGTTAGGTGGCTTCCAGCCAGTCTATCTCTCTCTCTCTCTCTCTCTCCCTCACTCACTAAGTCACCCATCCACTTAGTGAAACACATGCAATGCACGCACACAAACTCATATATGCACACACACGTATCACACACTTTCAGCTCGGGGCTGCCAAGACACTGTTGAACGACAGCGCAGCCATTGTGTTGTACTTTATTACACCTGAAACTGTGAGCCTCATGCATTTTTAATCTAGGTAATTTGCACAGCCACTGCGTGTGTCGCTGTGTACTCTGTCAGTGAGACTGTCTTAGCCCTTATCTTCAGCCCCCTCTCACTCTGCAATTGCTCTTCTGAGGACATATAAACCACAGCCCTTGGTAGAGATTATCAGATGATACTGTGTTTTTATCGCACACAGTGATGGGAGAGAAAAAGAGATGTACAGTCATTCATTGTATGAGCATCAATGCTCATCCTGTGCTTCATGGGCTTTGACTCCATCTTAAAGAGGAACTGTGAAAAATAGATGTTGCTCTTTAGTCCATCAGCTACATTTGTGTCTATTAGAGCTAGTAAGTTGTATAACGTTGATATTACGTTTTTCACAGACAAATAGTGTTCTCATTAAGGACAAGTCTGCAGAGGTAAAGTGTACTGAAGGATGCATACAATGGCCTCCAATGTTGCACTGCTGCACTCAGGCTTTTCTTTTGAATGCTGTTTGCTTTCATTGGAATGTTCTGTTCAGGCAATACTTTGGTTTATAAATCTTACCAGGCTACCTGCTGTGAAAAGAGTGTGATACTTTGACAGTATGATTACATTTATTTTATTTTTTGGACATTTTTTTTCAACATAGCCCCTTTGAAAATCCAGTCTGTGCTATGAATTTGATTTGAGGTAGTATTAAAGGCATACTATGCAACTAGTAGAGCAGATTTTTCCAGACCAAAACAAATGCTCTCTTTGGCCACACCTTCTTTTTCCCTCAGCAACCCCCTGCCCCTCCCTTCCTGTTTCAGTGTCTGTGAGACGATGCTGCAGACAAGTACCGATAAACATCTAAGAAACAAGATTCTGCAAGCGATTTCAAGTGATGACATGCATCTTAAAGTTGTTTCAGTGGTTATGTGTTTGTCTTTACAGGTTAAAAAGAATATTTTCTTTGGTTTTGGTAGTCTGTTTGTTCTTTTTTCAGTAGTACTCTTGTGACTACACTCCATTATTAACATTGACCCTGAGTTGGCAAGGCCGTGTCTCTAACCCCACGTGGTGGCAATGGTTAGATAGGTAGGGGGTTTATGTGAAAAAAAAACAACTTGCATGCAACATTATTGAGCCTCTGCGTGACACATAAACTGCCTGGTTAAATAAAGGTCAAATAAAACAAAAAACAAAAATTACATGTCTGTTTGTTGTGTTTTTGCTTGTTTTACTATGCTTGTAGTCTCAACGGCATTGAAAATGAGGGAAAGCTCAGTGTCCTTTCGCGAATAAATAAAGATTTGAAATGAAATGTTTGTATGTCACTCCTATGAGTTTTACTGTGAAATAACAACTACATCAGGTGTAATTTATTCTACCACACTCAGCAGTATAAGGCATTATTCTTTTCTGTGAAGGTTTGAGTTGAATTGTACCTGACAGGTTTATTTTTCACATCTGGATCTCTGGCGGTGACGATGCCAACCAGCGCTCCTACTTTAGCGTCCTCCTGCACTTCCATGATGGAGCCCTCTGCTGGTAGAAAGATTGGTGGCTCGTCTATGTCCGACACGCTAACCCGCACAATGGTCTGGTCTCGGAAAGAACCCAGGTCCACAAAGCGAGGGTCAACATGCTTATTCACGGCCTCCACCACAACATTGTGTGTACGCTTAGTCTCGAAGTCCAACGCCTGAGAGAAAAAACAAGGAAGTGTTTTAATCTGGTCAAAGGAAAGCTTCATTTCACAAACAGTGACATCATTCTTAGTATTGACCACTGATAGCTATAAGCTATATTGTAACATTACCAAAGAACGAGAAATAGACCTCTGCAGTTTTGATTCCAGCGACTGTTTATTAACAGTCAACATCAGCAGTATACTGCAGTTTTTACATTATCCATACCTTTTTGATGGTGACTACAGCCTCCTGTGTATCAACATCGGTAGTGACCTTGAAGAGCTCCCCTCCCTCTTTTATCAGATAGCTCATGTCCGTGTTGTCTCCCATGTCTGCATCGGTGGCAATGACGCGTCCAACAGGTGTCCCCACCGCAGCCCCCTCTGACACCGAAAACTGGTACATCTCTGGTTTATGGAGAAGGTGGCCAGAGGCGGTAATCGCATGAAGAGATTAAACAGGAGATAGACAGAGTTAGATTTACAAAAGCACAGATAAAGGAAAAAAACATCGACAGCTACAGCATAGAAAAGACAACAATGGAAAAAGGGTTGAGAGATATAGATATGCAAAGATGAGTAGAAACACCAGCTGAAAAAGCACAAGGAAAAAAAGATGGACGATGGAAAGTGGAAGAAAAAGAATTTGGATGACTGGGGAAATAGATGGCTCGAGTCCAGAAACAGAAAAGTGGGAGGGGGGAAGAGAGGAGGGAGTAACAAAGATAAACATTTTGAAGAGAGGAAGAGAATGTTAGAAAAAGGATATTGGGAACATAATTAAAGAAAAGCAACAAACAGATATGAGGCAGTTATTGTCACTGGATCATTAAGTTCATGTGAAAGAAAGTGAACAAAGTAATTAATCTTTGTCCTACTCCATAATTTCCTCCTGGAAAAATCACAATGTTTGGTCGGCATCACAGCAGTTGTAAGTAGAGATGCACTGATCTACTTTTTTCAATTCAGATCTGTTTCCCATACATGTGCACTGATACCGAATTATTAATCATAACTAATAATGTTTTTGGTGTTGTTGGTATTATTTTTAAGGCTACACAAAGCTGTAGTAAACCTGATATTGAATTGCATTGTGCTGCCTGCACATACAAACAGGAAGCAGCAACAACTGTTAAGTTTAAGAATTGTACTTTTAATAAAAGGAGCTGTTCCATCTCGCCTGAACATCTTGATGGAGACGAGGTGTGGGCACTTCTTACACTTTGTATGTCTTCAAAATAGAGACTGTGAGAGCTAAGAATGTTTAGAGTGCCGAGTTTTTCTTGACTGGCGTCGTCAGTCCGATATGCAATGCGTAAATTACATCAATAACAAACTCGATACCGATATCAGATCTTAACTGTCCCATCTCTAGTTGTAAGTAGCCTTACTTCTATACAAAGCAGAATCTAGATTGGCTTTACTTTATATTGTTATTAAGAATATGAAGATTAATACTGTATAAAACTGTACATTAATTAAAACGGTATTAATGAAATATAGCAACAATGAAACATGTATACTATTAAGTAAGCTGTGAGCATAACAAACTAGATGGTAAAATGTAATAGTCCTGACTCATTCAACGTTGAAACAGAGGTTGTATTCTGAATGAATGAACAGACTGAATCAAATGGATAAGCTCTGCCAGAGTTCATAATGACCAAGACAGAAAAATAAAAGTAAGGAGATAAAACTTTATTGTTCCCAAGAAGGAAATTATACGAGAACATCAAAGTCCTTTCATTTACAGTTTGTCATCTTTCTTTGTATCTTATTTATGCAGCTGATTTTCAAACTCTATTCCCCATACGCTAGAGTGGAGACTCTATAATCCTGCAGGGTTTATCCCTCACACTGGATAAATATGATTTACTGAGATGAAAAAGGGATTCATACAGAAATAGGAAAAGATGTGTGGTGACATATCAAATACAATCAACCTGGCTGTCAGATGGTGTTCCTCCAACTGAAACTAAAGTAAAAGTGTTGTGGTTTCACCCCAAAAAAGAGGCTGAAATAAAAAATTGAAACAAAATGGAGATAAATAACCATTACTGTCATTCAATAGCACTTAGTGTGTTTATTTATCTTAAATTGGGATGATCACTGTTTTTAGCTGTAATGAAATGTAGCCTAAAGTTGTGAAACCTGAAGTACACACCCTGTGTTCTGCATCTTCTTTTGATAACAGGTCAGAAATTAAACAGGAATCTTTAGCTGTTTCTTTTCCCAATAAATATATATTATTATCTTCCTGCCAAATTTAGTTTTAATAGTCACATTTTTTTGTGTTTTTTTGTCTACATGTTTGTCTTTTTAACTTGTTAATTTTGGACTAATGGACTCCTTAGTCTGTCAATAAAGATGATGAGTATGATGATAAACCTTTTTTTTTTAATGGCCGGTAGGGGGCAACACCACTGGTTGGATAGAGACTAGATAAGCAAAATGACCTTATTTTACTTACTTCTAATACTTCTGATTTGATTGATCATCTCAGTAATTAATTTCCTCCAAGTTCTCAAACAAGGTTGTCAAGTCTTTTTGAATACAATATGATGATTATTTATTAAATTCCCATTTAGAGTAAAACCGTTGATAATAGCACAAACTTTCAATGGTGGCAGCTTGCAATTGACAACATATAACCACCACGACCTGTTGACCAGAGTAGAGGCCTGACAAGGAGTATCCAACATGTTGTTTTTAAATGGATACTTCTGGTTCCAAATATAATTTGGAAATGGCCAGAATGGTTCATAAAGGAAATTTGCAAACCATGGCTGATGTCAAAGAAGCGACCATGTCCACGTCTTTTATTGAATGAGTGAGGAATGGATTCCAATTTTAGTTTAAGTTTTAACTATGGAGTACCTGTTGCAAATGTGTGCACTGAAAAGCATTTAGCCTCCAAACCACTTTACCATCATAAATCCATACCATCACAACGAGGGAACAATCAGCCGTATTGATTGAGTCCCCTCTGGAGCCTGGCTTTAAAAGAATGATCAAACGAGCAGTGGAACACATCAGTTCCCCATATTTGATAGAGTCTTTTGTTATGGGCTGAAGGTTTGATATGCCCATAAATTCAAGTAAGGTGATTTTCTTGCTCTACGAGCCTGCCGTTTAGTATGGTCGCTGATGCTGCCATTGCATTTTGGTGCCAGGTTTGCCAGCTATATTGTGAGTCTTTTATCGTCTTCTAAGTGTTTCTATGTCATGGCTTGAACTTTCCTCATTATTATTCACACTGTCCCAATACACACTTGTGTCTTTTCCACTCTCAGTAATCTCTGACTCTTTCTCATTTCAATCTTCTCCTCTTGAATCCCCTCATTTCTGTTTCTGTCTTAAGTATGATAATGCCCAGCAGACACTCACTCTGTGGGAAGCGCGGCGGGTTGTCATTAACATCCGTGATCACTATGGTCACCGTGGTGGAGCCGGAGAGACCGCCCAGTTGTCCTGCCATGTCTGTTGCCTTGACGACCAACTCATAACGATCCTGCGTCTCACGGTCCAAATCTGCCACCGCTGTCATGATGATCCCTGATGATAGAGTGATCAAGGAGGGATTGAATGCGAAAGACAGAGGGATGAGGAGAAAGAGAGAGTAGGAAGTTGGAAAGGTTACATTTATAGCAAACACTTTTGCCAAAACCAAGTATGTTTCCTCTTTGGTCTCAGAGTCATCTTCTGCTAAGCACTTTATTATGGAACGCATTCCATTTCACCTCCTCAGCCTGGCAGGATGGAAGAGATTGTGTCATATTTACTCCTCTGCGCATACACTACTTTATCCCTCAGCTGTATTAAAATGAAAAATATATAGAAGGCAGAATGAATGCATGCCTCAGCCACCCTGAACTGCATCACAGCTCTTCCATGATAGGTGAGTCTGCAATCAAAATGTAAAGAACTGGACTTCCAACGAGCAAGGGAGAAACATAGAGGAAGTGATGTAATGCAGAGGATGTGACAGAGGAACCACAGAGAGTTTCAATGGGTTAATTAAAGCTGGGGTGCACATTCTTTTTGGAGGCAGTTATGCTTGTCTTTTAATTTGTAGGCCTTTGAAAACTGGTCGGAGAATGTTAAAAATGCATGTTTATTTTATTTTATTTTATTTATTGCACAAAGAAAACATAAACATAATAGATCAATGGAAAAACAGACAGTAAATAATGATTAGTTAATTAACAAAATATACATTTTGAAAGAAATGTGATGGAGGAGCCAAATAAACCCAGAGGGGCTTGTCGAGTGGCCCTCCTAAAGAGAAACATGTAACACAGAGACATATTATTAATGTAGTCCAAGCAAAAACAAATAAAGCTAACAAGAACACATACTCAATAAGGTGTAAAAGAAAGCAAAGCAAGAAAGAGACAAATTAAAGAAGCGGTTTACAATCCTATTAAGCACCCACCCACAAATAAACTGAGCAATAAATAGTCATAACTCCTATAAAAACCTAGTTTAGAAAAAGCTTATTTTGCAGATTAGACCATTTTTTCAAAACCAGTTAAATTCAGCTGATCACATTTTGATTGACATTTGACCAGCTCAGCATGACAACGGTAAATTTGACAATCAGTGTTGGGCAGACCTAACCATGGTGGAGAAATCTGAGTCAGCATCAGACAACATGCTGCTAATGATGGGTGTATAGCAATGTATTCTCCAAAGAAGAACCTCTCAAGAAAGTTGCACAAGTTTCAAAACAGATAACTGAGCTTATAAAACCAAATGAAATCAAATATCAGAACTGCTTTTAGAAACATGAATTTCAATCTTAGCTGTTTTTGAATAGCAGTTGAAAATAATTATTTTACAGTTTTAGATAACAATGTGTATAAGACCCTTAATTATAGAAGACAATTGTACACGTGTGTCAATTGCTTGAAAATATCTGATTTGATGTTAAAGTGACCTAGCCCTTATTGGATCTGATGATTATCAGACCAAATTAGTTTTTTAACCATAACAAACTTTTGAAGAATAAAAATCTAGTCACCTCTACTGAATCCAAACAAAAACAGCCTGACCTAGGGCTGATAAACAGTTGCATTAGATGTTATATATTTTTTTATATTCTTTTATGTCTTATCTCGCTCTATCAAACCAGAACATTGGTTTACACATCTCTCCTTGTTGGTCATACAGCCTCAGCAGCATCAGTTGATGGCTGGTTTACTGTGCAGTAGTAATATAATTCCACTACCGCTGGGAGTTTCCACATCAGAATCTGTTGATGCATTTCCTGGGCTTGGTGTGCAGCCTCGCTCCCTAAGGTTTGTATGGTGTTGGGTACACAACTCACTGATTCTAGTCACATTTAGCCCTGGGCCATGTTCTATGGGTAGCCAAAATACAGTACATGCAGCACTGGAGTTAAGGAGGGAGACAGATGACATGCTCCTCTTTCATCCACCAAAAGCCAGAAGGGATGCATCTAAATCAGGGATGTCAAAACCCCCCAATCCCAAACCATGATTTTGCAACAGTGCTGCAACATCATTGCAGAGAATACATGTAGATGAGCCTGCTTGGTCGGTATTCATGAATGAAGTCAGTAGAGTCTATGTGGTCCATATCCTAATGCATATCACGTAGCCTTAACATTAACCAATTTAACCGAGTAATAGGGCCTTGTACATCGACTGTGAAATAGTGCCTTGGCATGTTAATGCATTACATTAATATAAAATAAATGAGGATGTTCCAATCATTTTTTTTCATTCACATCAATTGCATTTCTGTTTGGATCTAGCTAGGCAATTAAAATCTAATTGTATTTTGCACCTCGAGAAGCAGTATCTCCTGTCATTTGGGCCTTCATGGCTATACGAATGAAAAAGAAGTCGTTTAGTTAGGCCAAGGTGTCAGCTTGCCTTTTTACCCCTGTCACAGTGCCATTTCCACCCAGCAGCATATGATCTATACATACTGCTGCTGCACTGATGTTTTCATGCAGTGCCATGCACCCTGGCAGTGCAGGAAGGTCATCACCTAATTGTAAAAGTTTGAGATGCAAGAACACACACAAGGACAAAAGGCATTCAAAAGAACTAAGGCTGGCTCAGTGGTACTCCATGTCACCACAGTGTTTTTTTTTTTTTTCAGGGGGGGGGCGTTGTTATCAGCTGTAGAATCTTTTGGGGGGGTTACTGATGATCAGTGAGTAAAATAACTTGACATGCATGGTAACTGTAGGTTACAAATATATGTATGCGTCATAAACAGCCTGAATTACATATCAGGTTACTCCTGGAAGGAGGTAGTATGTGTTCTTTTTGTCTTTTCTTCATTAAACAATTAAAAGAAGAAAATAATACTTCATGAAGGAATAGAAAATTAGGACTATCTTTATGCAAAGTTGTTTGAGTAGACACAGCTATTTCACATGTATTTTAGAACTTCATTGCAGGTTTTCCCATTTCATTTGATCAAATTTCCACACATATCATTCATCATCTTGCCACATATAAAAAGTTTTTGTTTATAACGAAACAAAATGAAGGTAATAAAGTAAAGATGGAGAAACAATGACAAAAGAGTGAAAGGCAAACAAATAAACTGAAAAAGATAACGGGGGGGAGGAGTCCTTCTGTCCCCTTTAATTGAAATTCATTTATTTCAGTTTACTTTTCGACTCCATCTGTTTCCTTGACCCATTCACTCCAGTTCCTTATCAATTTGTCCTCTCCAATCTTTACTTATAAGCGAGTTTTTCCATTTTTTTAAATTTCCATTCATCCATCCATTGTAAGATTTCATTGTCAAATTCCTCCTCTTAGACACTCATAAACACCTTGAGACAGGGAAAATGACAGGGAAAACATGGGCAACACGCTGTTCAGTTCGCTGTCAGGCTGAGTGAGAGTGATATTAATGAGGCAGATTCCACAGCTGTTCAGTCTCCTCTTTACTTTGACCTCCTTGACTTGCACCTATTAGGCTGGCCCGCCTGCCTACAGAAGAAGGGGGAAAGAGTGTGGGTGGAATGGGGGTCGTGAGACAGAAGCTGGAATGAAGCATCCAGTCTCCTGGCTAGTCCCACCAAGGCAGAGCAATTTATCATCCCTGCTCCTAGGCTGACCAAATCAAAGTGGTGGAAACCAAAAAGGGAATCATTAAAACTTTAGTGCATTTCCCTGGAGGGGCATTTGAAGGCAACACCAATGGTGAGCCACTCCTGAAAGACTGTGGGTCAGGTCATGTTAATCTGATAAGCCCAGACCGGATGTGGAAAAGGGATTTTTTAAATGATAAAGCAGGAAGATTGTTACAAGGGTAAATCTGGATCTGTTGGAAATAAAGTTCAGGGTAGTTGGTAATAATACAAATTGGATAATCCTTGAATACACTTATAGATACACTTTATGTAGCATACATGTATACTAATTTTCTTTCAATGAATTCAAGGTTATCTGTGCTTTTTTAGAGTTGACATTTGCATACTTATATGAAATACTGAGAAAGATAAACTCAAGGGTTACACCAAACACTCTTAACGTCCAGGCAATCAGCAACTTATGGTGTTATAAGTTTTTATTAAAAAGAGGCCAGTACTTTAGATGAAAACTTTATAAAGTTGCTTGTTTTGAGTAAATTGGATTTCGGGTTTGGCCATAAATTGTGATCGACTTTGGAAGAAATGTCTCTAAGCTTAAGATTGCTCATGTATTGTAGAAAAGATAAGGAGCACCAGAATAAAAAAAAATAGGAGAATAAACAACAACAACAAAAACAATAGTAGGTGTAGCAGGAGCAGATGATGTGTTCTATATCATTCTTACCTGTGTTTCTGTCAACAGTGAAAAACTTTTCTCCATCCAGCACGCTGTACACCACCCTGGCACTGCTGCCGTATGTAGGGTCGTCAGCGTCTGATGCAGTGACCTTCATAACAGACGTTCCTGTTGAAAAGACACAATGTGATGTTTAAAAAGAAGATAAACACATAAACATGGATGGCAGATATGTGGATGTGAGTGCTTGTGTGTGTGTGTGTGTGTGTGTGTGTGTGTGTACAAACACACTGGTTGCATACAAAAATAACATTGTAAGACCCTCATTTTTAGTTGATTTATAAACTCAAACATACATGTATGTTCTCAATTGATATTCTCCAGGCTTCCTCAATACAGCATGATGGTCATTTTGTTTATATATGAACATGTTTTAATTAAACCTTTTAGTTAACCAGGAATACTCCCATTGAGTTATAAAATCTATTTCACCATGGAGTCCTGTCCAAGACAGCAGCACAACAAGTCCAACACATAACAAACAAAAGATCATATCAAACAATAACTACACACATGTTTAGCAGCACAGAATGTGCACACACTGGTCAAATGGTCCTTTATTCTGGTTTTAAAATCTCCCCAAGCTAATACAACAGATCTTTAAGTTTAAGATGACTCTGTAGCTCAAACCGTGATGAAGGAGCAAAAACATTAAAAGCTTTTTTATCAAAGATGAAGAGCGATGGTCCCATTTAGAGTCAAAATGACAGTAACACAGGGAGTGTTGTACTGTGGCCTGTGATTGACGAGTGCCTAACAAAGCCACCTGTCAATCAGGATAAAGACATCCTCACATCCAGAATGCTCATTTCCTTTTCCAAGAAATCCAAAGGCACAATGACCAAAATGCGGAACGAGAGGCTTCAGAAAGGGGGTTCACATACCTAAAGGGGGTCATCAGAGTGGCTACATTTCTGTATACAGTCAATGTGTTTGGACCATGCATGTTGTCACATCATTATATTCATTCTGTTGACATGGCTTGACAGGCTTGACATCAATAGGGGGCATGTATGTCAGAATGTTCCCACAACTGTGTCGCTGTTCCTTGTACTCGTCTGGGATTATACATGGGAGATAGTGATTAATCCATTACACCAGGTAGCTATTTCATCTCCATGCACATCATTTTGCAAACCATTTTTTGATGAGTTAAATTACCTTTTTACAACACTAATGCTCAGAGATGTTTTTCCTCTAATCAGTGCAGAAGTTATGCTTGGAGATGAAAGGAAACATGGAGTCATAAAGTCAACATTACGGCTTCAAAGACTTGCTAGAAGCTCAAGATATCTACAACAAACAATTACTCATGATTACCGGCACTTAGGCAGAGAATATAGTCATTTCCACATGAAGGCTTAAAATGTGGATTTGTGGAGCAACAGTGTTTAAGTCATTATTTCCCACTCATAGTAGCATATTTGTCAGCAGTGTGCTTTCAAAAGCCTCTGGCATGAAATACGCTGGTGCATCTCCCCATTTAGTCACACATTTTAGATAAAGCTCAGCCTGCAGCCTATACAACTTTAAGGGCTTCATTTTTAGAAACAACCGTATACTTGCCTTTTAGCATGTGAGCACATTTACTTTCATTCTATTAATAATTCCACTTACAGGGCAAAGAAAAAAATAAAAACGGGAGGCGTTCCAGGGCACCATAGGTCCTCAAGGACAAGGAGTTCGTCTTTGTCTCCATCCTTCTGGCCAATGCTATCGGTAATTACTGACAGCTGGTGGTGTCCACCAAAGGTCATAGCTGTAGCCTTTCTCAGAGCCCTGTCATGCTACTGTCCAGCCGCATAATGGCCATATGCTAATGATGCTAATTAGCGGGAAGTGTCAGAGCTCTGTTTGTTTCCTGTCATCTAACTGAGCTCCTACGGGGTAAAGAGGGGGGCTGAGGAAAGTGGATTATCATTAAAGTCACCCAGTCATTAAATCAGACAGCTTAGATCACCATCCTGTCGCTGTCACCTACAGCGCTCTTTTGTCCGTCCTGTATGTAGTTATTAGCTGTCTGGCTTGCATGCTAACATATACAACTTGCAAATGGTGTACCACTAGAGCGGGTCTAAAAAACTTGTGAAACAAATAATGTCCTTTGGGAAACATGGTGGTTAACCTGCCTAGGTGCCAGGTTATAAATTAGCCATATCAATAGACAGTAAAACTTTATTTATTTTTTTCGATCCCTAGCTATTCTCCAGGACCATCCTTTCATTCAAATATAGTACAGAAAACAAACATGGCAATGGCCAAAATGATGAAAACAATGCCTCAAAAAGGCAGTTGACAAGCCAATGAGTGATGTCACAGCAGTACATCCATCATTTATTTAGTCCATGGAGAGAAAAACACTAAACTGAACAAACTAATGGATGGATTTGTTCCTTTCACCATTTGGAAAACCAAAGAAATAAGATTTCTGATTGTGTCAACAACACTGTTTGGTTCTCAGTTAAATACGGATAAACTGCAGCTACCAGGGGATTCATAGCCGTGCTTATGAACTAGAATGGAATGAGAATTTAATTCATATTCTAAGTCATATCATACAGTCATTACCTCAGCCAAATAACGGTACACAGCACACTGATACTTGGAAGATGGAGATATGCTGCGCCCCAGTTGGGGGATGAGTGAGATATCATTCTTATCACACTGAAAACACAAGGCTATATAGAAGCTAGAGATTTTCATTACTGGCAACAGGCAGGGGTCTGTTAATTCTGCCTACCTAGTTGGCCCCACTGCTGTGGCTCCAACAAAGCCATTTTCCTCCATGGGATTACTCCCTTATCTTAATTTTCCCCAGGTAACAATCAGTTTGATGCTCAGCTGTTTCTGGGTATCCAGGCTGCCAGCAACGTCAGGTGGTTTGGAAGAACTATATAAATGCAAATGCTTCTTTATTGTGTTTATATTAAAAAGAGAAGTGAAGCAGGGAGTTTGGCACTTGGGCTCTTATTAAAGCTGTAGCTTGCATCAGTGTTTTCAGTGGGAGAAGTCATTACTTACAGTATTTGCTGGCATGGTCGGTGTCTCACTTAAGTAGATTCTGCTGTTGATGGACTTGTGGGGATTCAATCAAAATTATTGACTTTCTCAGATTGGAATGTAATGCATATTGCAGTGATAGAAGAAGTATGTCTAATGGGGAGAAGCTGCAAAAATTCATTAGCTTAAGAGTTGTTTTCTCTCACCAATGAAAACTTTAATCACTAATTGTCCTCAGAAGAGACTGAAGGCACCGTTGTAATAATAATTTTAATTTCCAAAATATGCAGGTCTGTCTCTTTATTCGCCTCACGGGCAGCATTCTTGTGACTGAGATTTTTGGGGTTTGGTTATACGATTTAAAAAAATATATTTGTTGGTATCCATGAAACATCACTAATGAAAGTAAATAATTGCTTTCACCAAGTAGTCAATTTCAGAACCCATCAGCCATCGTCTGTTGACAATATATCCTCTGGGGGCTATGACCAATTTTCAGGGTTTTCATTGTCGCAGCTGCCTTTTTTTGATACACAAGATGAAGGATAAAGGCTGGAGGATATTCAGGATAGGACGTCCCTTTCTGTACACTTGTTATGTTTAAAGTTCAAGGTAGCAACTATGGCCTCAGTTGGAGTTGGAATTGATAGGCTTCAGATTAGATGCACTTAAATTCAGTTATCTTGTTATTGAAATCAATACAATGCCTAATCCTCTTTAGACAATAGTCAATTTGTTCAGGGATTGTATTATAGCCAGTGTGGTTTGCTTCTCTTGCCCTCAACATAGACTGTTTTCCTGAACACATCAAAAGCCAGCTGAATCCCGATTGGACACAACTTCTTGGACTTCAAAATAAAACCAGAACTGGCACCAAAAATGTTGTCCCTTTGTCTACAGATTCTGCATTCCAACAGATATTTGTTAAAATAGATTACCGAGCAATAAATGTCCTCACATGTCTGCGCTTTAGAGCAGAATGCTGTGATTACTACTGACTACATGACTACTACATGTTTTCTCAGGTGCCATTAATGTGACATACGTCTGGCAAGGTCAAAAGTGTAACCACCAAACAGAAGAGACCAGCCAAACACTATTTTTCATCTGAATTATGTAAACCTTTATACATATGCAACCTCCATGAATCTGCCAGAAGTCTGGGCCAACTTGTGACAAAATTGCAAAACAAATAAAAATCAAGTCTCCTCACTATTCGTTGTTCCATTGCGTCTACTTAAAATAGAGATAATGCATGCAGCCTGCGGATATTTACATTGTTCGTCTCATCATCAAAACAACATTAAAAGGAGAAAAGTCTGCATTGTTCTCATTTTCATATGCTAATTTTGAATAATAATAACACAACTGATTTTCAGTATAATAGTGTGATGATGTGACAGCAAATTATAATTTTTTTGCTGTTTTTCTGGCATTCGACTAAGCATTTATGAAAGCTGCGCTGTTGCCTTGCAGTGTCTTGCCTCAGCATGGGGCACGAGACAGGGTTCAAACAGCTCATGGCTGTGCAAGTATAATAAGGGCACGGCGTTGTTATTCATTTAATCCCATAGAAATGTAAAATGCCTCAGACATAATTGAGGTTGAATGGCTTCAAGTTTTATTTACCACTTCTTTGATAAAGTTTGTATTTCTATATGTCAACTCCGACATGCACTGACGCTCTCCCACTCATCACATACATGAGCACAGTCAATGCCTCATCTCTCCTGTCTTGTTTCCTACTTCTCCTGTTCAAAAATCAATAGTGCAATATCATTCCTTACAGTGTTATATATACAGTGTCTACTATGTCTGATTAAGGGTGAGGGCCTGAAACATTACGTGTGGTGATAATTTCCATTCAATTTAATCGGACCAGCTTCCAGTAGTCAAGTTTTCAGACGTGCAATCTGTTTGATATTTTTATGCAGTACCAGTCAAATCTTTGGACACACCTGATTGAAATGCATGTTATTATCTTGAAGACATTTTGATCGAAAGGCTTATACTTAAATGTTTGACGTGTTTCTTATATAAATGGAAATAGTGAAGTTGATACCTATGTTTGTATGCATTTCTTTCCAAAACAAAAATGGTATGACATT